GAGCAGATTGGCGTGGGAAGAACGAATTTTGGTTCAGGAATACATGGGCAGCAGGAAATCGGTTGACAGAGATCTCAGCTGACTCCAAGTTGGTGATGGGACCTTGGCTGAGCACAGGAGCATAGGAGGTTTACAGAGGTCCAATACCCATTGCGTCCCAGAGAGAAGGAAAGAGGTAGCCCAGTTCTCCATACAGGATACTGAGCCCGACTTTAGGGCCAGAAGTAGGTAGACGGGACAACTGAGACAGGATAGGAGGTCGTTTCAGGTTGAGATTGGAGCTAAGTTCCTTAAAAATAGCTCTCGTTCTGTTGTTAGCAGGAGCTTTAAAGTTTTATCTTTCGCTAAGATTGTCTTTCGAAGGTTTTGGAAGCCAGTTCTTAATAAGGGACGCTGGACCCGTTTTCCAGCAGGGCGGTGGAGTTAAGTGGGAAAGGTTGACACTCGAGCAGGGCTCGAAAGCAAAACTGGCTGAGGCTGCCAGGATAACCCCGGGTAGAATTGTGACGTCCCCGGCCTCGTCCCATTGTTTTTGCAATAAAACGATAGCCTTCAAAAAAAAAAAAAAAAAGAAGAAAATGCACGACCGCGTGGCTTGACACGTGCTCTCTCCACGTAGGTGTCTGAGAGAGTACTTGCCACTGCACAGACAAGAATGAATACTCCTAGGACTTCGTACTCTCTCTTTAGTTTAGTAGTAACAGAAGTAGTAGAAGACACATGCGAACTCAGAGATGCAGATACTAATCAACTCAGATGCATCCTGGGTCCTACTGGTCCCGTCAAAAGCGAAACTGGCTAATGCTGCCAGAGGTTACTTTCCGGGGGCTAGGTCCCACTTGCCCAAATAGGGAGATTTGGGCCGTTGATCTTGGCTATCTACGGCCAGTATCTTTTAATTCGTGCAAGTGGGACCTAGCCCCGGGTTGAACTGTGGGAGCCCCGGTCCCAATTCTTCATTTCAGTAATCAAACGAACAACATTCGGAAAAAAAAAAAGAAAAGAAAAAAAAGAATGAATACTCCTTTTCGCGCGGAAGTGCGCTGTGGGCGGAGTTTCCAGTTGAACCATTCCATCTGCAGGACCGTCTATCTCTGAGAACCAGGAAGCCTTGGTGCTTATCACTGCTGTCTGGTCCAAGTTGCCCTGGATATTGGTGGGTGGTGGTCAGATGGGAGGGGATAGGGGGTGCCCTGGGAAAATTAACGCGGGGAAGGGTAGGGAGGGTGGCCTATGCTGTCAGGCAATGGTGGATCTCCAAGCTCAAAATGGACGACAACACACTCTACTCCCTCCGAACTCACAATAGATTGCACTATTGGACATTCTACTGGCCTGCTCAGTCAATCCCCTGGGTTGACGGGCAATCAATGCTGGCAGGCCCCACAGCCATTGTTCTCATTTTTTCTCACACATTTGCAGACATTCTATTGTAAAAAGGGATGCTGGGCCCGATGTCCAGCAGGTGATGGTCCCCACCAATAGATGGAGTCCCTCCCCAAGTGTTAGTGGTGTCTGCTCTTATCAGCAGCACTAACACTGGCGGGGTTTGTTAAAAAAAAAAAAAAAAAAAAAAAAAAA